TTTGCTACGGTTGAACCAGGATCGCTTCAAGCCGGAAATTTGTGCAGTCAACATGTGAAGTTATAAAGCCAAAAAGATCATCCAAAAAACCCTGGTATCTTTTATGCGTTTTTTTTTCATCCTTTTGTTTTCCCATTCCGAGGTTCATTACATTATCGCGGATAAATGGGAAGTAAATCCTGTTTTTGCTACAGTTGAACCAGGATCGCTTGAAGCCGGAAATTTTGGCAGTCAACATGTGAAACTATCAAGCCAAAACGATCACCCAAAAGATAACATGGATACCAAAGGGGCAAACAAAACCCATAAGACTAAAAAAGTAGACAACTTCATGAATAAATACAAATAGCAGTCTACAGAACACCACACATAAAGCATGATACAGTTTAACACGAACCCCACAAAAAGCATGGTTGAACTCGAGCTCAAGTATCTGGAAACTTTAGCAGTCCCTTTTCATTAGCGACACTCGTCTTGTTAATCGTAAAATGGTAAACGTTGCCTCAGGGAGATGCATTGAACTTAAGATGTTATAAGGTTTAATATATATATTAGCTGATAGTTAGTAAAAGGTGCGTATAACAGCATGTTCAATACCGAATCATTGCATTTGATCCTTATTTCAATGCGTACGTACATCTCATATAAAACCATTCAAACATATATTATTTCCAGTCTAGATTCTTTCCTAAACAATGACGAAATATAGCCCCAGAATTGAGTATCTATGGCGAACATGATAATTTTGTATTTTGTTTCGTCAGCTTTCCGGTTTTGAATTGTTAATTACCTTGGAAAAAACAAAATTGCCGAACCCCAAGGTTATTCAGAAAGGGGAAGTCCATAAAAACTGATAAAATCAAATGTTAGACTTTATCAACCAACGCCGCCTGCAGAGAATAATTCCAAAATGTTTTTTGGAAGAAATTCAAGCAACAGCTAGTAGTTTACTGATGTTGAAGTATCATAAAAACAGAAAATTTTCATAGGCATTTACAAACGGAAGTATAATCTGTACATCTTGTCACAAATAAAACGTGTAAAAAACAACCATCAAAAATATCAGGCTATTAATTTAGTATGTCAAACGCGTTTTCGTCTCCACAAGTCTGACAGTGGCTCTCGAATCAGAACAGTTGGAAAACCAAATCAATAAGACAATTGAAAAGCATTAAAAACAAATTTTCTAAAAGAGTTGAGCAAATTCTAACTAATCTTTGCCTCGAAGTAGGAAAATCTTATTGTTAAGAACGATTTTGATGTTACATGAACAATAAATTAGTAGTAGACGATTGCAACTATTGTATTGCCAGCACAAGTATGCTCACTATAGGGCTGGTGACACCTCTCGAATCGTCCGCCATCAGTGTTACTATAAATACGAAGATGTGGTATGAGTGCCAATGAGACAACTCTCCATCCAAGTCACAATGTATAAAAAGTTAACAATTATAGGTCAAAGTACGGCCTACTAACCCGTAACTAAGTTGTAAAAATTATCAACGATAACAGGCTGACAATTTATTGCACTAGACAAGCTTATTTCTACACAAGACACAAGTCTCGTCAGTGGAACTCGAATCAAAAGCGGTTTGAAAGCTATTATTAATTACCATATTGAAAAAATTATTAACCAAAAACCTTTCCAAATGATACAAATCGTGCAATCTATGTATGGGGCAGATAAACATTTTTGTTTCAAATGATTTTGATATTTTATGAACTGTCATTTTACAGAAAATGACCGCTACGATAATATTTCTTGTCATAGCAGGTGTCCTGACTACTTAACTGGTGTTAATCTCGACAACAAACTAACCATCAGTAGTAGCATCAATCCAACGACTTGAAACACAACATATTTAAGATACAATGCTTATACTCTAGTACTTGCACACCAAAACTCCAAAGCTTTGGGTCGATCAACATTTTTTTAGGATCAGCTTACATCTATATGAAAACAAATATTGTGTCCCAATCTATACTTTCTAACATTTGTTTGAAATGTTTCGAGGTCATCTTTTTAAATTACATGGTAGGCACTCATCATGGTCGTTGCGTCACCGAGGGTTCACCGGACCAAAAGCTGTGCTTAAGGGCTACTGTGATGATACTCTAGGGGTATGTGAATATATCAGTTTTTATAAGTCTTTTCCCTCTTGCAATATGATAAACACATTTGACCTCTCTAACCTTTACACTAGTATTCCCTGCTTTAATTTTAAAGACAGATTGAAAAAAAAATTTGTCCAACTATGTATCTATGCATCTTTGTATATCAAACAAACACTATCCAGATGCTTTATTTGCTTTATTGACGAAATATATTTTTTTACATTTGGAAGACTGAAAGACGTGTAAATCAAAGCAGTCGGCATTCCTATGGGAAAAAATTGTGCTCATAACCCTGTTGACTTGATCCTTTATGCACAGACTTAATCGATGCGCTTCTTATAAATAATGCAAAGAAGATAGCATATTAAGTTTGCGTTCTTCTATAGATAAAGATGACGTTCTCTCACTAAAGAATTCAAAGTTTGGTGACTAGGTTGAACTCATCTATCCCATCAAACTTAAAACAAACGATACAGCAGATACAGTTAAGTCTGCCTCATATCTTGACTTACTAGTACATCTAGAAATTGACAATGAGGGTCGGATGAGAACAACATGATTTCAGCTTTCCAATTGTGAACTTCCGACAATTCGGACAAGAGAGAAGCGAAAGATACTAAAGTGGCATGACAAGCGCTGAACTTATGATTTGTGGAATGCTGTCAAAATTGTTCTGGTCGAATATTATTTTACACACCTTTTTTTTTGCAATTTAATTACTAGTCATTTTTATGTCGATACGTACTATTATTACATAATGCTGAGATTTTCTCTTTTCAAAATCATCTAAAAATATCTTTCGATGAAAGTGATCCAGGAAGAATACATATTTTGTACATACGTTTTAAACTTTCAAAATCAAGTTTTCTAAAAAAAAATATTTTATTGTACAAAGGTACGTAATAAAAAATAAGGAACTGATTTCCAAATGACTTCAAGCCAGACCTCTTAATTAAGTATATATTAGATACACCTTAAGGGTGTTAGCCCGAATGTGTGTATCTTATTGTCACCAAGATATTATTGTCAATGCAGAATGATAGTTTTCAATAATTTAGGAGGGGGTCTTTCAGCGATTTGACTTATTGAAAAGCATGATAAATGCAGGTTATCCAATTTCATTTAGCGATGATGATGATGATTTTTTATGTTTTCCCCTTTAGAAATTATGATTTGCTAAGATATTGAAATTTGTATTAACTAAGATATTAACATTTGTATATAACAGAAGTTAATTTATGAACTGTAGTTTTATAAAAATCCCCTTATCTATTTTTGTCCTTAATATTCCTAGGACATTCGAACGACATCAATTCAAGGTGTTCTATATTATACTAAAGTAGAATACATAAACATCAGACAATTGCAGGAAACTAAAACGCACAATGAAAAGGAAGGCAAGTCACTTTTTATTTATAATGCTCTTTTCTGTGTTGTGAAATATTGTGCATGAATGGTAGTTAAAGTTAAACCATGTCATTCGCTGACCCACTTCGAATCGGCAATTTATGAAATATGAATCATACCACTAAGACATTACTGCTCTCAATTATTAATGAAAACGGTAAACTTATATTTTCGATGTCAAAATTAAAGAAAAGAAGGTTTTAATTGACGAATATCTAAAAATATCAAATCATATGACTTTCTATATTTAATTCAAGGAAAATCAGAATTATTTATAGAAAAAAAATCAATGATTATTTACATCCAACAGATAATCAGGACTAAGAGTATATTTTTATGCCCCACCTAGGGGCATTATGTTTTCGGTCTGTGCGTCCGTTCGTCCGTCCGTCCGTCTGTCCCGCTTCAGGTTAAAGTTTTTGGTCAAGGTAGATTTTGATGAAGTTGAAGTCCAATCAACTTGAAACTTAGTACTCATGTTCCCTATGATATGATCTTTCTAATTCTAATGCCAAATTACAGTTTTGACCCCAATTTCACGGTCCACTGAACATAGAATATGATAGTGCGAGTGGGGCATCCATGTACTATGGACACATTCTTGTTTTTAACTATGCGTTGTCAAATTTAATGACCACGTCCCTATTGTCTAACCATATGTTCTAACTTAAGATGTCTTTTGAGTTTTGTCTCATTGACTATTCCCTATAACACTTTCATTCATAACGTAAAATCGCAGACGATAAAAGAATACTATATTTAGAAATTTATAAAGTGTTTTAATAATTCGTTAGGTTCTGTTGTAGGGAAATATTGAAACATTACATGAAAAAAACATATTTCGATTTCAATTTAAGACTGAGCAATACAAACGTGGGTGATCTCGAGTGCCCTGGTGAAATAGCAGATTCTGCTCCACGTGTGACACCCATCGTGTTACTCCTATAAAATACGTTGATAAGTTATATCAAGTGATTAGACATCATGCAAAAGCGGATTGGTACCTGACTCTAATCTAATCCTAAGACATAACCAAATTCTTACATTATCGATCATGTTAATTTTCTTACCCTCAAACTTGACCGAATGTGAAATTTTGAAAACGCTTTTCGTGACAAAGAAAAGACAAGACTGTTACTGGTATAAACAACATATTTACATATACTAACACACGAAAACATGAAAAAAAACCCCCAAAAAACACAAAATAAAAAATACACAAAGAACAACAACAACTAAAGTAACAAAACTAGGGGTGATCTCAGGTGATTCGGAAGGGGTAAATATAACAGGCTATTCATGTTGCACACAACGTGTTGCTCGTGCAAGTGCAAATTCGGTAAACAGGTCTAACTCAGTGATATCAAAAGTAACATTTGCATGCATCAAGATTAGCATGAACGTCAGTGTTAAATTGTAAAATTATGAACTTGAAATTTGGCTAATTTTACATTGTGCCTTTCGTACATTTCAGAACAAAACTACAGTTTATGCGTTCATTACGATTCTCGCCAGCCAATTGCAATGCGCACAGACTTTGGATAAAGAATGCCCCATGAATTATATTCATAGAAAAGACTGGATAGGAAACGAATTGAGCGAAAAATGTTGTAAAAAGGTGATATGTCCAGCAGGTAAAAAATTAACAAACAAAACTAAAATAACAACTCAAACACTGAAATATTTCGATATATCTATATATAATATTAGGGTATAAAATATGAACAAAATATTTTATGTCAATATTTACTAAAAAAATAAACACATTATAAATAATGTGTCTGTAGACCTATTCTGGATATACCGTCTTTAGGAACGCTCGAACGCCAGGGCTGTATAAATACGTATAAACGATATAGGAGCTATAAAATCAATAACGTTTACAAGTTGATAAACTTTCGACATATTTAGTCCTTTAATAAGAAATTTCAAATTCTAATTAATTCATTTTTTTTATACCTTAAACGGCATCTTAACATGTATGTGTTAGGTATCTAAAAAACACTAAGTACAACATTAATAACATCAATTATATGTGATATCTTACTTAGTGAAATCTGATCTATTCATTTTTTAAATATTTCTGAATTTCTCCGTTGGGTAGTAATTTTGTCGTGCATTTTCTGCTTTTTTATTTAGGACATCATATAAAAAAATGCAGTTTAGACGGCGGCGAGGATAAATGTGAACCCTGTCCGAAATTCACTTGGATGTCAGACGAAACGAACTCGGACAATCCCTTTCAATGTGAAGAAGTTGACACTTGTCCTTTCGGTAAATATATCTATAAATATTTGAAAATGTATTTTCAATCTTTATCATTTAATTATTGAATACTATTCGTGATCTACTGGGGCATACTGGGGAAGCACATTTTGTATAAAGCGGTGTGCCTCCCATGTAATGTTATTATAACTTTATAAAGCTACAAAAATAAACGTATACCGATTTCAATGCGAACGATGTTTCATGAATATCTTTCAACGAAGACCTAGGTTTTTGATTGCAACAGACATAAAACGTGTTGTTGTATAAAACCATGTCCGGCTTAATCATGCATGCAAGGGATCTTTTAATGCCTGTACCAAGTCAGAACTATGACAGTTGTTTTCCAGTTGTTCCACTAGTGCTATAATCGATCATTTGGTTTTGTCAGTTTGTATGGAATATTAGTTTTATATTTACCTTAGAGTTTGGTATTTTTAATGCCCCGCTGTAGCGGAGGGGGCATTAAGTGTTACCCTTGTCCGTCTGTACGTCCGTTCGTACGTCCCGAAATTGGTTTCTGTTCTCTAACTTTAGTTTGCCTCAACCAAATGTTATGAAACTTGTACACAATGATTATTACTACAAAACACAGATCAAGTTTGAATTTTGGTGGAGCCACTTATACCATTCTAGAGTTATGCCCCTTTACAAATGGAAAACTTGCTGAATTTTTCGTTTCCGTTCTCTAACTTAAGTTTGCCTTAACCAAATGTTATGAAACTTATACACAATGCTTATAGCCACAAAACCCGTATCAAGTGTAAATTTGGGTTGCGTCACTTTTACCGTTCTTGAGTTACGTCCCTTTATAACTATTTATGCAAGCAGGGGCTTCATCTGTGTCTCATAGACACATTCCCTATTTATTAAATTTCATTTTGTTTTCGGAAAACGTCTTTATTATGTTAAAACACTATGGCAGCATTGTATCTCAAGACAAACAAAATATACAAAAGTGTATAGTATATTCATTAGATCAAATATAATAATATCAATTTGAATATTTACAGGGTCAACCAGAGTGGATTACTTTCCCAAATCTGATGGTTGTCATAAACCTTGTATCTGTGATACTTATATAAATCACTATGGATATGATAGCTGCAATTGTAAAACATTTACTGGAAAATGTTCTTTCGATACAATACTGGCTTTGAATGGATCCTGTTTGCCTAAACGGTATATCTAGTTTATGACCTTATTTATGCATTTCACATAAACGTTTAAAACTTTGACACGTATCGTTGCATTAATATTTTTTTTTTAATTTTACTCCAATGAACATGAATATTAAATGAGGATAAATGCCGATTTCAGCTTAAATGCTAGGTATAAACACTAAAACATGACGTGAAAACAATTGATTTCGAGTACGCATCAACAGAGACCTGTTGCGTCAACATGGTACGCAGTAGACGTTAGAAAATACTTCAAACTATTCTGAGTAATTAAAATACATAATAACTAAGACAATCTAACTCTAAAAGAAGCTATTCCGTGTGTGTCAACAGGGAAAGCGTCGTCTGCTATGAATGCATCACCCGCCATGTAAATCCATTTCCAGTCAAAATGTCAGATCAAAATCTATTTCTAATTGCATTTACAAATCAATTAAGATTTCGAAATAAGGGAAAATTAGTATTTAATTGAAAAAAGATGAAGATGTCAAGAAAAAAATGAAAAATTATTAGTCGAATTAACACAGAAAACACCATGGCGAAAAAGAGACACTACGAAAAGATTGACAACAGACCACAAAACACAACACATAAAACAAAAAAATGATTAACACGTTCCCTACAAAAACAGTTAGCTAACTAAAAAGTAAGCATGAGTAGTTCCTGTTCTACTAGTGCCACCTCTCGGATAACAAACTATTTTGTGAGTAAGAAAATCGGTGATCATTTGCATTCCATGATGTCACAATCGAAGAAAAGAGGACGAGATTGTGGCTACAAGTGGAATATATCCTTGGTCATATGTCACACAGATATTCTATTACGATCAACCAACTCCTGATGATTTTCAGATAAAAAACGAAGCATCTCCATAATTCAAAAAGCAGGTATATGCTTAAAGAACTGTTTACCTGCTGTTTTAATTTTTATGTACAGGATTGCAAATGCCATTTTAAATGACTTAAAGCCGGACAATTTCGTCAGCGTTCCATTAGTAGAAAGTACGAACAAGACTGGTAAGTTTTGTAATTTGCAATAACATACCTGGATCTAACATCGTTTCACAATCTCTACCATTCAAATATTAACATTAAAATGCACCCAAAAAATGCGCATTTTGGAATGTGGCTTTTTTTATTTCTTACTACAAATTTATTGTGCTTTATAAAGAAAGAAATATATGTTTTATAGATGATATTTGAAAAAATGTTTATTTATTCATACCGTTGGCTACGTAAAGGGATTATTTTGTTTACATTTACACATCCCTTTTTTTTGTCAATGCAAAAAAAAAAAGGTGTTTATTTCAAAAAGTCCTAACTCGAATAATTCAGCACTCCACTACCGTTAATGGAGTGGTCGTACTGAGCGGAATATAACGACTTGATTATTAAGGTTAACAAAAGTCACACAAAAAAAATCAATCCGTGTTTGTTTCTGTTTATTTGAAAGACGCTTAGACTTATACACGAATTTGTTCCTACATTAGCAACACGACGGGTGCCACATGTGGAAACGGATCTGCTTACCCTTCCGGAGCATCTGAGATCACCCCCGGTTTTTGGTGGGGTTCGTGTTGCTCAGTCTTTAGATTTTCTATGTTGCGTTTTGTTTGTCTGTTGGTCCTTCTCTTTTTTTGAAATGGCGTTGTCAGGTTATTTTCGACTAATGAGTTTGAATGTCCCTTTGGTATCTCTCGCCTCTTTTTTACAATGATGTTAAAGTAAATGTTCGGACTTGAGCGTTCAAGATGAAGATAAATCCAGAAAGCTCTTTGAACGCATGCAATATTTTTATAGTGCTATTTTCATTTAGGCTGTAACATGATTACTTTGTATACTGTAGAATTCTATACAAAAGAAAACGGAAATGGAACACTTATTATTAAAAGGTAAAATTCATATTTCGATATATTAAAGTATATATGTGAATATATTATTTACTTTTCCAGTTTATCACGTTGATAAGTTTTTACAACTGCTGAGTGATTGCCACTGCTTTAGGACGTGTTAAGTGTATCATCAGACAAGTAGTCGTCTCTCCTTTGGTTTACAGTGCTCTTCAACTTCATAGTTAATTTGGCGTCCCAATGCTTTTACTTCGAGCTTACTGGTGGATCTACAGATCTACAGAGGACGAAACGCTCGTCTAGCGTATTAAACTATTAATTTGGTATATTTCATATTTTACACTCCATGAATGGATGCATGTACTAATGGATGCTACGTTCAAAAAGTCTTCCCTAGCCTAGTAATCAGCACCTCTGTGTTCACTTTGAATACTATTGATGCAGTCAATTTGAAGAATTGAGACTTTCTATATGAAAAGTTACACTACTAGTGCTTATTTAATTTAGATTGTGTGAATTTATTTGTACATAAATATCGTAGTTCTGCCTAAAGACCTAAGCATGTTATTTTATGCAATGAAATTATTTCTAGGCAAAATGATATTGTTGCTGCAGAAATCATTGCGGGAATAAACGATTCTAGCACCAATTCGTCTGTGGAGAATGCAAGGGGTAAGATAATGAATCATAACTGTGTGTATTTTATATCGCTTAAAATTTATCAAGAATATTTGCTTACAAAAGGGGACATACTCAACATCAAATTATTATTTTTTATTATTATTATTTTTCGGCTTTCTACACCAACGCCTTAAGAGGTTCATTTAATTTCCAAAGGACTAACAAACCTTCAATAAGACCTTTTTTTTTGTATTACAGCTCTTCTATAAAAGCATGCAAAGCAAACCTTTGATCAACTTGCTTGCTATGTTTGTTTGGATGTTTGTACACAAAAGGTAGGTAGTCTGTTTCAGTCTGTTTACTATATACTGGAATTTGATTGGACAATAAACATTAACTTCATTGCATGTCAATTTTTATTGTCTAATCAAATTCCAGTATATACAAAACAGACTGAAACTCCGCCTACCTATTGTTTGCAAACATCCAAGCAAACATAGCAAGCAAGTTGATCAAAGGTTTGCTTTGCATGCTTTTATAGAAGAGCTGTAATTGTTTATTTTGAAAGAAAAATCCACAGGATAGAAATGTTCCCTTTACTGGAATCTTCAGAAATATGTATTGGTCCCATCATGAATTTTTTTTATAAATCTATGTCAAAAACTAATAAAAAATGAAAACAACACATTATAAATTTCATGCGTCCGAAGCGCTTTTCTGGATTTACTTTCATCAGGAACGCGCAAAGTCAAATATTTGAAAGCCACGGATGTATAAGAACCGAAACATTTGAAGAGCTATATGACAAAAAAGAACCTAAAAAATAGTCAAATCCATGATGCATCTAAGGTCAACTTTGTCTGAGGGAGTTGAAACCTTAGTTTCTTTATAATTTAAACATTTGTAAACGGACAATTTTAGAAAGGATTGTTATAAATCATTTCAGTACCGAAGTACTGACTACTGAGTTGATGATACCCTCGGGGCTGATAGTCAACCAGCAGAGGGGCCGACCCAGTGCTGTAAAAATTGAAAACAACACGTTATAAATTTCATGCGTCCCAAGCGCTTTTCTCGGATGTCAAGTTGGTTCAGTATTCAACATTCAACATTCTATTTCTTTTTTTTTTGTTAATCATTTTTGTTTTTTTTTAATTTTTTAATTTTTTTTGTTTTTTTTGTTTTTTTTTATTTTTTTATTTTTTTTGTTTTTTTGGGTTTTTTTTTTAATTCTTTTTCAACATTCAACATTCGTTTTTCAACTTCGTACTTTATTTGGCCTTTTCAACTTTTTTTGATTCGAGCGTCAAGTATGAGTCTTTTGTAGAAGAAACGCGCGTCTGGCGAAAATATAAAATTTCAATCCTGGTATCTATGATGAGTTTATTTTAACATTCAACTTTCGATTTCAACTTTCAGCATTCCAAACAAATTTTCATTTTTTTTTTTTTTTTTTTTTTTCAACATTCGAATGAAAACGAATGCTGAATGTTGAAATCGAATGTTGAAAAAAAATTAGAAAATTAAATAATTAAAAAAATTAAAAACATTTTTTGACTGTTGAATGTTGAAATCGAATGTTGAAAACGAATGTTGAATGTGGAAAACGAATGTTGAATGTTGAAAACGAATTAAAAAAAAAAAAATTGAAAAAAAATGTTTAACAAACATCAATAGTCCAATGTCACGTGGGATGGTTTCAACCAATCAGATGTTTTTAATGTACAGTGGAATAAAATAGATGAGTACACTTACATTCATAGAATAGCATAAACTTTTGAATCATAAAGAAAAGATAAAATCAACACGAAGTTACCAAGACGTTGATCGCTTACAATGTACATTTAATACCTTTAAAATATTTACATGAATGAATATTATATTGTAGAAACAGAAATAACTTTCGAATATGGAAGCTTTAAAATTGGAAGGTAAAGTACATGTAATGTTCAATTCGTAGATAAACCACATTTTTTTTATTAAATCAAAATGCTTACAATTTTTAGGATTTGAGAAAAAAAACAATTTTGTTGGTAAAGATTTGATTTATTTAGTCTCATAATAATCGGTCATATATTACTTTTTCGCGTTTCTTTTTATATGTTTTGTGTGTGCGTTGTTGATGTTGCTTCATATGCAACGACGCGCCTTTCCTTTAACAATAAACTGCAATAAAGATACTTTGCAATGTAAAATCATTACCGATATTTTACAAATAGGCGTAGAACAATTTAATTCTTTCTACGAATACGACGAAAAAGTGGTGTCCTTCGTTAAATTAACGCAATTCAAACTTTGAATGGAACCTAAATATACATATCACAGAGTACAGAGGAGAGGACAAAGATTTACTAAGCAAATACCAAATTTCTTAGCATAATATAGGCAAGGAAGACGATATTTACAGTTATCCCATGAATCACTAGGAGATTCAACCAATACATGAATATACAGGAGGAAGGGTGTTTTGCCTATACCAAGTCAGGAATATGGCGTCACAGTTGTTATTCACTCGTTCCGTTGTTTGATAAAGTTTGATTTTGTCAATTTTTAAGGACTTCCACTTTTAAATTTGACTTTGAGTTCGGTATATTTGTTTTACTGTTGAGTGTTCAAGCACTTGTGTTTCAAGGTTTAGTCTACACGCCTTTGAACACTTCAAGAATTTAAGCTCCAAGCCATGGATTTTAGCGTAATTCCAAGGAGCCTTATTGGCCTGAAAATAGATGAATACCTTATATCAGTTATTACCGCTAACTTATGGATAAATTATAATAAATTCTTCACTTTTACAGGATTATTATCACTTGTGTTGCAACACCAGTGTCTATGGTGGTGTTAATAGTCATCATAGTCTTTACCGTTGCATATATAAGAAGGAAATATAGAGGTAGATATAAACAGCTTATTTCCATAATTACAATACGAACAATTGCTGATTACAAATTTCGTCTTTAAGAATACACTTCTACGAAAATGATATTTGAAATGTTGAATGGTTTATTATGATTATACGGAGATGTGAATTATACGTCAATAAGACAGCATCACAACCATCAATGAATTAAAATCAGATACCCGGAGGCCTATCGTCTTCAACAATAGACGAGAGTCTATACTGTATGTAATATTCTAAATAGCCTTGATTTCTACACAATATGAACGGCATATGTGTGGTTCAATGTACATCTACAGACATCGAGCAACTGGTATGAAAGGCAGTCTCAATCTTACAAAGAGGCTTCTTGCTAAAAGACCAATAACAATTCAAATGCGTATTAAAATTCCTTCCTTTCCATAGCTGACATCAACCAACCATGCAAAACCCAACTCATGTAAAAACTTAAGAAAATATTTACACTCCAGAAAAAGTAAATATCACTACAAAAACTATGATGAGTATACAGTTTTCAAATAAAAAAATCCACGAATGGGATTAGTATAGTGATATTTCTCTAGTACAAAGTTATGCTTTCCTTATTTCAGATAATCCTGGCAACCCTGCTCCGATTCCTGACGAAGAAATGACTCTAGTCAAATTTCCAGACAGATTAAGAAATGATTCCGGGATATCAATGTCGGCCAACCCTGCTCCGATTCCTGACGAAAAAATGACTAGAGTCAAGTTTCCAGACAGATTAAGCAATGATTCCGGGATATCCATATCATCTAATTTAGAGAATAATATTCTGATGAATGAGCAAGAACAAGACCAATTTTCTTCTCGAGTAAAACAATTTGCATTTGTTTCACCTATCCCACGAGATCAAGGTAAATCATATATTTATGTTTGATTTCTTCATTAATAAGAGTATTATAAAAAAAATTCAAGAGATATATAAAAAGGTTGTTCCTTTAATATGTGTTCCTGTCATAGTGCATTTGCGCTAAGACTGCGTAAAAATTCATCAAAGATAATAGGGTTACAATTTGTTACGCCAGACTACTGCAATCTAGTCTTTTAAACCCGCTGCATTTGTTTTCACCTGTCCTAAGTCAGGAACCTGTTTCAGTGGTTGTCGTTTGTTGATATGGTTCTTAAGTGTTTCTCGTTTCTCGTTTTATATATAGATTAGACCGTTGGTTTACCTGTTTGAATTGTTTTACACTTGTCATGTTGGGGCCCTTTATAGCTTGCTGTTCGGTGTGAGCCAAGGCTCTGTGTTGAAGGCCGTACTTTGACCTATAATTGTTTACTTTTTACACATTGTGATTTGGATGGAGAGTTGTCTCATTGGCACTCATACCACATCTTCTTATTTCCATTTCCTCTTTTTGCATTCCTATCTCTTTGGTTGTTGCAAGGATTTGAATAGTGAGAGACTATACAAATCCTTGATTGTTGGAATATACAATGCCATGTGGTAGCCTATCATTAGAGGGTCCGTATCAAAGACATAGATCAATTCCTGTATAAATGATCGAAAATTTGCGAGACCTTCTGAGAATCTTGTTTTCAAGGATATCTGAATGGCCCATAGAAGCTACCAAAGCGCACCAGTATATAGGTGTTAACCCTTCAGTTCACAAAAAAAGTTGTATAATGTGCGATATCGTAATGATCAATGACAAACAATATGTATCCCTATAGTACAATACATGTACATACTAATTAAACTTTTAATAATCAATTTGGGACTAATAACACCAGCAAAAACTTTTTCTGTTTTTTACAATTCTTTTATTATAGCTGGCCAAGAAGGAAGTGCGATTGAACCATCTACAGTAGAAACATGTTCTAATGGAACTCGTCGCCTTGCAATATCAGCTTCCTCTCGGGAGTACAGCATGGATTTAACTTAACAAGTAGTTAATATTTAGATAAAAATTTGAACTATTCACCCATTCACCTTCCTCGTTAATATCAGGCAAAATATTTGTAAAATAAAAAAACAGCATACTTTGACATCACAATTAGAGCCCTCAGTTTCAGTCTTGTGGAATTTATATTAAAATAAAACAGCAATGACAACATTAAGCAATTAGTATTTGTAAACCGCATAATGATTTACTAAAGAGCAAAGAACTATTTTGTTGTGATGATATCTTTCCATTATTTTCATTTGGATTTTCGTTTTTTTTTCGAATTGAATATTTTGACTGATTCCTATAAACCAGTGTATGTGTAGATGTGTAAATGGTCACGTCTTTTTTCCTGTTAAATTAGTTACAGTAGCATTCAAACTCCATCTTTAATGTCATACTTTTTTCTTTATAAATGTTTTTCTTTTACATTTGCAGCTTTTTGTATATTTCTTCAAAATTATTAAATATAGTGAATTACAGAAATGAATAACGGAAAAGACTACACTGGGGCATTTTAAAGGAAGAAAAACTGATGAGATATTGCAGATATCTTATCCAAACATTTCTAAGAAAAACTCTTCAAAAGTGATTTGAAAGAAAACCTTTTTTTAAATTCGTGTTCACAAATACGAAAAAATAGAAAGTTAATTAACAAACCCAAAAAAGAAGGAACAAACTGGTTTAAGGTTTTTAATCATTCGTTATAAATTTTGTATACCTTTTTTGTACTATATAAGATGAGATGATTTTTAATGATAGAAAGGGTATGTGTGTGTGTGTTCTTTTTGTGAATAACAATCATTAACAAATATAACACGAACTGTTGATCTACTGTCAAACTGCTTGACCATATCTTTGCATATTTTGCGACTTTTTCATCTGTTTTACATATTTTGTTAATACTATTGTCTCAGATTCTTAATTTATAATATTCATTTTTACACCAAGATGTCGTTAAATGAAATTGGATACCCTCTATTTATCATGCTTTTCAATAACATATGATCAAATCGCTGAAAGACCCCTCCTTAATGATTGAAAACTATCATTCTGAATTGCCAATAATATCTTGGTGTAAAGTAGATACACTTATTCGGGCTGACGCCCTAAAGGTGTATCTAAAACTTACATAGAAGTGTTATCATTTATCAGCAAAAAGTGTAGGTATGGCTAAAAGATGTCGAATCTGTATCTAAGGTGGTACATATACTGTATTCCTGAAAGATGTCGAATCTGTATCTAAGGTGGTACATACGCTGTATGGAAAAAAGATGTCGAATCTGTATTTAAGGTGGTACATATGCTGTATTCCTAAAAGATGTCGAATCTGTATCTAAGTAGGTACATACGCTGTATTCCTTAAAGATGTCGAATCTGTATTAAAGGTGGTACATACCGTGTATTCCTAAAAGATGTCGAATCTGTATTTAAGGTGGTACATACGCTGTATTCCTAAAAGATGTCGAATCTGTATCTAAGTAGGTACATACGCTGTATTCCTAAAAGATGTCGAATCTGTATTTAAGGTGGTACATATGCTGTATTCCTAAAAGATGTCGAATCTGTATTTAAGGTGGTACATACGCTGTATTCCTAAAAGATGTCGAATCTGTATTTAAGGTGGTACATATGCTGTATTCCTAAAAGATGTCGAATCTGTATTAAAGGTGGTACATACGCTGTATTCCTAAAAGATGTCGAATCTGTATTTAAGGTGGTACATATGCTGTATTCCTAAAAGATATCGAATCTGTATCTAAGTAGGTACATACGCTGTATTCCTAAAAGATGTCGAATCTGTATTCAAGGTGGTACATACGCTGTATTCCTAAAAGATATCGAATCTGTATCTAAGTAGGTACATACGCTGTATTCCTAAAAGATGTCGAATCTGTATTCAAGGTGGTACATATGCTGTATTCCTAAAAGATGTCGAATCTGTATTTAAGGTGGTACATATCGTGTATTCCTAAAAGATGTCAAATCTGTATTAAAGGTGGTACATACGCTGTATTCCTAAAAGATGTCGAATCTGTATTAAAGGTGGTACATACGCTGTATTCCTAAAAGATGTCGAATCTGTATCTAAGTAGGTACATATGCTGTATTCCTAAAAGATGTCGAATCTGTATTTAAGGTGGGACATACCGTGTATTCGTAAAAGATGTCGAATCTGTATTAAAGGTGGTACATACGCTGTATTCCTAAAAGATATCGAATCTGTATCTAAGTAGGTACATACGCTGTATTCCTAAAAGATGTCGAATCTGTATCCAAGTAGGTACATACGCTGTATTCCTAAAAGATGTCGAATCTGTATTTAAGGTGGTACATACGCTGTATTCCTAAAAGATGTCGAATCTGTATTTAAGGTGGTACATACCGTGTATTCCTAAAAGATGTCGAATCTGTATTAAAGGTGGTACATACGCTGTATTCCTAAAAGATGTCGAATCTGTATTAAAGGTGGTATATACGCTGTATTCCTAAAAGATGTCGAATCTGTATCTAAGTAGGTACATATGCTGTATTCCTAAAAGATGTCGAATCTGTATTTAAGGTGGTACATAAACTGTATTCCTAAAAGATATCGAATCTGTATCTAAGTAGGTACATACGCTGTATTCCTAAAAGATGTCGAATCTGTATTTAAGGTGGTACATAAACTGTATTCCTAAAAGATATCGAATCTGTATTAAGGGTGGTACATACGCTGTATTCCTAAAAGATGTCGAATCTGTATCTAAGTAGGTACATACGCTGTATTCCTTAAAGATGTCGAATCTGTATCTAAGTAGGTACATATGCTGTATTCCTAAAAGATGTCGAATCTGTATTTAAGGTGGTACATAAACTGTATTCCTAAAAGATATCGAATCTGTATCTAAGTAGGTACATACGCTGTATTCCTAAAAGATGTCGAATCTGTATTTAAGGTGGTACATAAACTGTATTCCTAAAAGATATCGAATCTGTATTAAGGGTGGTACATACGCTGTATTCCTAAAAGATGTCGAATCTGTATCTAAGTAGGTACATACGCTGTATTCCTTAAAGATGTCGAATCTGTATCTAAGGTGGTACATACGCTGTTTTCCTAAAACATGTCGAATCTGTATTAAAGGTGGTACATACGCTGTATTACTTAAATATGTCGAATCTGTATCTAAGGTGGTACATACGCTGTATTCCTAAAAGATGTCGAATCTGTATTAAAGGTGGTACATACGCTGTATTCCTAAAAGATGTCGAATCTGTATCTAAGTAGGTACATACGCTGTATTCCTAAAAGATGTCGAATCTGTATTAAAGGTGGTACATACGCTGTATTCCTAAAAGATGTCGAATCTGTATTTAAGGTGGTACATATGATGTATTCCTAAAAGATGTCGAATCTGTATTTAAGGTGGTACATACGCTGTATTCCTACAAGATGTCGAATCTGTATCTAAGTAGGTACATACGCTGTATTCCTTAAAGATGTCGAATCTGTATTCAAGGTGGTACATATGCTGTATTCCTAAAAGATGTCGAATCTGTATTTAAGGTGGTACATACCGTGTATTCGTAAAAGATGTCGAATCTGTATTAAAGGTGGTACATACGCTGTATTCCTAAAAGATATCGAATCTGTATTAAAGGTGGTACATACGCTGTATTCCTAAAAGATGTCGAATCTGTATCTAAGTAGGTACATACGCTGTATTCCTTAAAGATGTCGAATCTGTATTTAAGGTGGTACATACGCTGTATTACTAAAAGATGTCGAATCTGTATTTAAGGTGGTAGATACCGTGTATTCCTAAAAGATGTCGAATCTGTATTAAAGGTGGTACATACGCTTTATTCCTTAAAGATGTCGAATCTGTATTAAAGGTGGTACATACGCTGTATTCATAAAAGATGTCGAATCTGTATTCAAGGTGGTACATATGCTGTATTCCTAAAAGATGTCGAATCTGTATTTAAGGTGGTTCATACCGTGTATTCCTAAAAGATGTCGAATCTGTATTAAAGGTGGTACATACGCTGTATTCCTAAAAGATGTCGAATCTGTATTAAAGGTGGTACATACGCTGTATTCCTAAAAGATGTCGAATCTGTATTAAAGGTGGTACATACGCTGTATTCCTAAAAGATGTCGAATCTGTATCTAAGTAGGTACATATGCTGTATTCCTAAAAGATGTCGAATCTGTATTTAAGGTGGTACATACCGTGTATTCGTAAAAGATGTCGAATCTGTATTAAAGGTGGTACATACGCTGTATTCCTAAAAGATATCGAATCTGTATTAAAGGTGGTACATACGCTGTATTCCTAAAAGATGTCGAATCTGTATCTAAGTAGGTACATACGCTGTATTCCTTAAAGATGTCGAATCTGTATTTAAGGTGGTACATACGCTGTATTCCTAAAAGATGTCGAATCTGTATCTAAGTAGGTACATACGCTGTATTCCTAAAAGATGTCGAATCTGTATTTAAGGTGGTACATATGCTGTATTCCTAAAGATGTCGAATCTGTATTAAAGGTGGTACATACGCTGTATTCCTAAAAGATGTCGAATCTGTATTCAAGGTGGTACATATGCTGTATTCCTAAAAGATGTCGAATCTGTATTTAAGGTGGTACATACCGTGTATTCCTAAAAGATGTCGAATCTGTTTTAAAGGTGTTACATACGCTGTATTCCTAAAAGATGTCGAATCTGTATTAAAGATGGTACATACGCTGTATTCCTAAAATATGTCGAATCTGTATCTAAGTAGGTACATACGCTGTATTCCTAAAAGATGTCGAATCTGTATTTAAGGTGGTACATACGCTGTATTCCTAAAAGATGTCGAATCTGTATTAAAGGTGGTACATACGCTGTATTACTAAAATATGTCGAATCTGTATTTAAGGTGGTACATACGCTGTATTCCTAAAAGATATCGAATCTGTATTAAAGGTGGTACATACGCTGTATTCCTAAAAGATATCGAATCTGTATCTAAGTAGGTACATACGCTGTATTCCTAAAAGATGTCGAATCTGTATTTAAGGTGGTACATACGCTGTATTCCTAAAAGATCTCGAACCTGTATTAAAGGTGGTACATATGATGTATTCATAAAAGATGTCGAATCTGTATTTAAGATGGTACATACGCTGTATTGCTGAAAGATGTCGAATCTGTATTAAAGGTGGTACATACGCTGTATTTCTAAAAGATGTCGAATCTGTATTTAAGTAGGTACATATGCTGTATTCCTAAAAGATGTCGAATCTGTATTAAAGGTGGTACATATGCTGTATTCCTAAAAGATGTCGAATCTGTATTCAAGGTGGTACATACGCTGTATTTCTAAAAGATGTCGAATCTGTATTTAAGTAGGTACATATGCTGTATTCCTAAAAGATGTCGAATCTGTATTAAAGGTGGTACATATGCTGTATTCCTAAAAGATGTCGAATCTGTATTTAAGGTGGTACATACGCTGTATTCCTAAAAGATCTCGAACCTGTATTAAAGGTGGTACATATGATGTATTCATAAAAGATGTCGAATCTGTATTTAAGATGGTACATACGCTGTATTGCTGAAAGATGTCGAATCTGTATTAAAGGTGGTACATACGCTGTATTTCTAAAAGATGTCGAATCTGTATTTAAGTAGGTACATATGCTGTATTCCTAAAAGATGTCGAATCTGTATTAAAGGTGGTACATATGCTGTATTCCTAAAAGATGTCGAATCTGTATTCAAGGTGGTACATACGCTGTATTTCTAAAAGATGTCGAATCTGTATTTAAGTAGGTACATATGCTGTATTCCTTAAAGATGTCGAATCTGTATTCAAGGTGGTACATACGCTGTATTTCTAAAAGATGTCGAATCTGTATTTAAGTAGGTACATATGCTGTATTCCTAAAAGATGTCGAATCTGTATTAAAGGTGGTACATATGCTGTATTCCTAAAAGATGTCGAATCTGTATTCAAGGTGGTACATACGCTGTATTTCTAAAAGATGTCGAATCTGTATTCAAGGTGGTACATACGCTGTATTCCTAAAAGATGTCGAATCTGTATTCAAGGTGGTACATACGCTGTATTTCTAAAAGATGTCGAATCTGTATTTAAGTAGGTACATATGCTGTATTCCTTAAAGATGTCGAATCTGTATTCAAGGTGGTACATACGCTGTATTTCTAAAAGATGTCGAATCTGTATCTAAGTAGGTACATACGCTGTATTCCTTAAAGATGTCGAATCTGTATTTAAGTAGGTACATATGCTGTATTCCTAAAAGATGTCGAATCTGTATTAAAGGTGGTACATATGCTGTATTCCTAAAAGATGTCGAATCTGTATTCAAGGTGGTACATACGCTGTATTTCTAAAAGATGTCGAATCTGTATTTAAGTAGGTACATATGCTGTATTCCTAAAAGATGTCGAATCTGTATTTAAGTAGGTACATACGCTGTATTCCTAAAAGATGTCGAATCTGTATTTAAGGTGGTACATATGCTGTATTCCTAAAAGATGTCGAATCTGTATTAAAGGTGGTACATATGCTGTATTCCTAAAAGATGTCGAATCTGTATTAAAGGTGGTACATATGCTGTATTCCTAAAAGATCTCGAACCTGTATTAAAGGTGGTACATATGATGTATTCATAAAAGATGTCGAATCTGTATTTAAGATGGTACATACGCTGTATTGCTGAAAGATGTCGAATCTGTATTAAAGGTGGTACATACGCTGTATTTCTAAAAGATGTCGAATCTGTATTTAAGTAGGTACATATGCTGTATTCCTAAAAGATGTCGAATCTGTATTAAAGGTGGTACATACGCTGTATTCCTACAAGATGTCGAATCTGTATCTAAGTAGGTACATATGCTGTATTCCTAAAAGATGTCGAATCTGTATTAAAGGTGGTACATATGCTGTATTCCTAAAAGATGTCGAATCTGTATTCAAGGTGGTATATACGCTGTATTCCTAAAAGATGTCGAATCTGTATTTAAATAGGTACATACGCTCCTCAGATATGAGAGGATTACAGCTGATTTACATAGACGTAATAAATAGATAATTTATCTGTTCTCTTGTTAAATAAAATTTACAGTTTTGATAAAACAGGAAAAGTGTCATTATCTGAAATTTTCCAGATGCAGTTACACTTTTAGAAGATGTTTTGTAGTTATTGTTTTGCAATGAAGTTTTAATTGCGTCTATTTTTCTGTCATCAAATTGAAACCTTTATATCATTGCTTTTGTATGACAATATGAATCTCTGTACTATCTTGTCTTTTCCTGGTTTATTTGCCAAAATCTGAACTTTCTGCTGATAAATGATATCACTTCTATGTAAATGGTGAATGATTCCCAAAAGATGTAATAATGTATTTAAATATGTACAATAAGATTTTGATTTTCAGTCCCCTACCGACGAAGTCGAAGGGGACTTTAGGTTTGCACTCTGTCCGTCTGTCCGTCCGTCCGTCTGTCCATCCGTCAGTCCGGCAAATCAGTTTTCCACACTTTTTTTCTTCGTTCTTGAAGATATTGATTTGATATTTGGTATATAGTTTTGCCATGACAAGTTATAGATCAAGTTCGAATTTTGTTCCGGTCGGATGATTTAGTCCAGAGTTATGGACCATAACTGTATTATGTTAAACCATATTTCTGTACAAAGGAAGATAACTCATTTTTTATAAGACATTCTTTGGTAAATTATTTGAAGAATTTTTTGGCAGGTTTGTTTGTTATTTTGTATAAACTAATTTTCTGAATGCTATATATATAGAAAAAAAATTATGAAGTGAAATCCTTTAATTAGATGATAATCTATTTTTATTAATGTATATATTACATTATATTGTGTAGATAAAAATTGTTGACATTTTATAGATAAGTTACAAATCTATATTAGTTTGTGACAAATAAAAGAAAAAATATTTGGAACTATTAATTATATTTGATTATAATTTGAAAATAGATATACACTGTATTACATCATATCTAATTTTAGAGAACTATTAATCATATCTAATGTTAAAGTGTTTTCCACACTTTTTTTCATCATGCTTGAAGATATTGATTGATAATTGGTATATAGTTTTATCATGACAAGTTATACAGATCAAGTTCGAAATTTTGTTTCGGTCTGATAATTTTGTGCAGAGTTATGGTCCTTGGACTTGAAACATTCACTCATTTAATCAGTTTTCCACACTGTTTTTGGTCATGCTTGAAGATATTGACTTGATATTTTCTTTTTGTTTACACCATGACAACTTATAGAACAAGTTAGCTTTTTGTTCCAGTATAACGAATTTTTATACGGTAGGGGACTATGTATTGCCGTGCAATACTCTCAGAATGCTTGTTATTAATGTATCTCTTATTTATTGAGTTGTTTCACATATGTAGTAACTTAGTTCAACTGCTTTCGATATATTTTTTAACGGATTAAGATGTTTTGTTTTAATATTTTTTAGATTCTGATAATTTGAACTATTTTATAGCTAAAAAAACTGTTATGTTAGAAAATTGCTTTAATTTTGAGGATGTATACTTGTAATTATTTTGAATATTTTAATTCTTTATTATCTGTATCTGTTTAGTCAACTAACATAACAATAAAATTGTAAATCTAAAATTTCAGACATTTTATCATTGTTTGCCTAATACATGTGATGGTTGACTGGTAAAGGGCCTAGGCCTGCTACGTGATTACGTGCTGTCTTGTTTAAATGAGATTGTTTTTGTCCTTTATATAATATTCGTTAATCAATTAATTCATGATGGTCTGGCGGGGGTCCTTCATTTCTTTACTCTTTATATTTTTATTCCATTTTTATCCTTTAAAACCCCATTATTCTCTATTCTTTATATTTTTTGGCCTATTTTTCTCTATTCTTTATTGTTTTCGCCCTTCATTCTGCAGGCAATCTAGAGTTCAGATACTTAAAATTGTATAGACACATTTTATATTGCTCTGAAACCCTATGGAAGTCTTTTGTTTCCTTTTGTTTTGTTTCGTTCGGTTGTTATGTCATTGGCATATACTCCTTATATTTGAATGTATGAATTGGAAACAAGAATTTATTTATTAGGCTGTTGAAGCCATAGACAGGTAAGCAAATCTTATTTTTACCACAGATAAAAAAAAGAGGAAAAGACAGTTCCCAAAACGTATAAAGGACAGAAAAAATAAAACCTTCACAACTACGAATAATGAATAAAAGAAGGAATAGGGCATATGTCAATGGGACAGAAACCCAAGGACACAAAATTTCCCAAAAGTCATACATGATATTTTGTTTCACAGAACAATTTGTTTCAAATTTTCATTGCTTCATAAAAATGATGTTATAAGAGATATTATGAAAATTCATTCTCCCACTATACTTCATTAGTTTTCCGCACAGTTATATAACGTCTTCAAACATAGACAATTACATGAAATATATTGAGGTATCGGCTGGATAATTTTGCAATGTAATTCATCGTATTTTGGAAAACCAAACAAAATTTATTGCAAAAGCAACGTTGAAATCGCAATCTAACGTATATGCACAATTTCTTATATATATACAAACTACTTTAAGACGAGTAACAATGAGTGTGCATTATAAAACATGTAGACACCGGCAGAATAATTGCCACTGTCTGAATAAATTGCAAAATAAGTGATAGGGAGTGGATGTACATGGTACAACATTCTCAAGCAACACTGTACAGTTAAATACTAGTAACCATGATGTCCTTTTGTTGTATCTCAATGTTTTTGGACAATCTAATTAAAATTTATATCTATATTAACTCGCGTGCTCGTACATAACTCAAATGAGTAAAACGAAATCAGAGAACTATATTTAAATTAGAATGTGTTTTTAGTAAAATTGAGAATGGAAAATGGGAATGTGTCAAAGAGACAACAACCCGACCAAAGAGCAGAAAACAGCCGAAGGCCACCAATGGGTCTTCAACACAGCGAGACAATCCCGCACCCGGAGGCGGGCTTCAGCTGGCCCCTAAACCAAAATGTGTACTAGTTCAGTTAAAATGGACGTCACACTAAACTCCGAAACATATAAATGAACTAAAATAAAAAAAAACATACAAGACTAACAAAGGACAGAGGCTCCTGACTTGGGACTGGCGTAAAAATGCGGCGGGATAAACATGTTTTGTGAGATCTCAACCCTCCCCCTATACCTCTAATCAATGTAGCATAAACAAACACACAGCAATACGCACATTAAAACTCATTTTAAAAGAAGTCCGAGTCCGATGTCAGAATAAGTAACAGAAGAAACAACGCAATTTAAGGAATTCAATTTTCAATAGTCTCTGTGCATTTGAGGAACTCTGTGTATTAGAAGAATTCCATTTTAGATAGACTCTGTGCACTTGAAGAATTCCATTTTAGATAGACTCTGTGAATTTGAATTTTCGAAAATCTCTGTGAATTTAAGGAATTCCATTTTTGATAGTCTGTGTGAATTTGAGGAATTCAATTTTCGAAAGTCGAGCTTGTTCTAAAGACAAATTTATATTGTTGAAGATCATATGCTGAACTCGAGATGTCTTTGTTTTTTTTGTGTTACTGGGTTTCTGTCTAATTGACGTATACCCTATTTCTCTTGTAACTTATATTAACATATAATTTTATATATACGTATATTAAAAGGTCAGAAATAGATTTTGATTTTCATTGTATGTAAAATATCAGTTAAATGCCTTTTAGACGCATTTATACTTTTATCATCTTTGAGATTTGATTAAAATGTTTAAGGGGGGTTTTCATGGAGTAAATTATTATTCCGTAACACAATTTATTTATGGTTTAATACATGAAAAACAAAATTTTGTTTTCAACAATAGCTTTATTATACGCCTTTGCTTATAATTGGCAGCAATCAGTTACCAACCACATAAAAAGGTGTAGTTTAAATTCAAATGTAACGGAAGTTACACGTGGAGCACAACGCTAACCCTTCCTGCTCACCTGATATCACCCCAGTTTTTAATAGGGCTCGTGTTGTTTAGTCTTTTGTTTTCTATGTTGTGTTTTGTATACTGTTGCTTGTATGTGGGTCGTTTTTCGTTTTTCACCAAGGCATTGCCAGTTGGACTATCCTTTTGGTATCTTTCGCTTCTCTTTTACTCTTTTACATAGCATAAATCTTATCACTTAACAATATATGAAACGGCAAGTGGTAATCAGAATTTTTAAGCAAAAACTTAAAGACGGCACGTGGTAATCAGAATTCTTTAACGAAAACTTATAGACGGCACGTGGTAATCAGATTCTGAAAAGTGATAATCAGAATTTTTGAACAGCGGTATACTACTTTTGCCTTTATTTGAACGATAAATTAAAAGACGGCAATTGATAATCAGAATTCTTAAAACGATAAATTAGAAGAGGGTAACTAACTGATAATCAGAATTCTTAAGTCTTCAAAGAGTAAGAAGGGGCAACACCTTGACAAAAAGAAATAAAATAAAACAGTAGAAAAGATACAAAACCACAAAACACCATACCACAAGCAAGGGTTCCGACTTTTCTGTTGTGTTTCTAGTTTATTTTCGGGCTAGTTTTAAGGTGGTACCTAACACTACAGGGAGATAACTCTGTAAAAATCAGCTAAACGTTTTAATTACGTTGTATTGTTAAGGAAATATTAAGCTTCTCAATGATCAAAATTAGTGTTTGTCAAACTGCTATATAACCAACGAAATTTTTCTGATAAAGTGGTTGGTTCAAATTTTTTGAAATTTTTATATTTTTGTCAAAGGGTCAAAGTAGACATTTTGTCAAAATTTTATGAAAATTAAACGAGCCAAATTAATATTAGTCAAGGTGTTGGGTACCACCTTAAATTTTTTTCAAATTTCAAAACCTTCTCAATTGATAAGAAAGAACAAGACCTAAAACTAGTAACTTTTACACTAACTATCCGAAATGAAGAACTTCGACATGCATAGACGAAGAGTAAAGGAAAATTTAATTGTCATTAATTGTCTGTCAAATAAATACATTCTATTTAAAAAAAGGTAAGATAATTATGAAGATTTGATAATAATACGTGTGTCTAGTTTTTTTTTAGTGGATAGCAATCAAAACGGATTTTTATGAATTATTATGAACCCATAACGACGAAAGTTTTTCAGAGGCAAACCTGTATGATAAATGATAAATGATAAGAATAAAGGAGAGGCGAATGATACCAAAGGGACATTCAAACTCATAAGACGAAAACAAACTGACGAAGTCATTACAAAAAACTAAAATCGAAAAAAAGACAAACAGCAGTATACAAAACACAACATACATAACATAACATATACCGAGAAATACGAACCCCACTAAAAATAGGGGTGATCGCAGGTGATCCGGAAGGGTAAGCAGATCCTGCTCTACGCTGTGGCTCTAGTCGCGTTGCTCATGTAAGTACAAACCAGGTGTAAAGTTTAATTTGGTAGGTAATTCAAAATGGAAAGGGGGCGGGATTGTGGTTACGGCAATTGGAACATACCCATCGTGATCTGTGAAACAGATGTTCTATAACGGTCAACCAACTCGTAAAAGTAATAAAAGTAGTGTTAACCTTTCAGATGAAGTTCCTTGAATGCGATGGATATTTTAAATCAAAGCACATGTCGTACTAGTCGATGTTGTCATGGCCATCGTCTTCTAACTGCAAAATGTATATGTATATAGGACGTCTCGCTCTGCTCTTTATTTATATTGACTGACATTTTAGTCTTGAATTCCTGGGTGTATCTATAGGTTGACATAGGGCTTTGAACTATCTTTAATAATTGCAAGTAGGTTGACATAGAGATTTGAACTATCTTTTATAATTGCTTATACTCTTGGATCGGTGCTTTGTGTCTTTTATCATTTTCTTAATTATTGTTTTAATACTTAGTGCTAAACATGATAAGTGTACTTTAACTCCTATGTCTACGGTTTGGACAGGGTTTAGCACTTACAAACATATTTTACCCCGCCCATTCTTTATGGATATAAAATAAGGAGATGTGATATGATTGCAATGGGAAAACTATCCACCAGAGACCAAATGTCGTAGATGTTAGCAACTATAGGTCACCATAAAGGCTTCAAAAATGAACAAACACATTACTGCATAGAAAGCTATAAAAGGCCCCGGCATAACAAAATGTAAAACAATTCAAACTAGAAAACCATCGGCTTGAATTTATTCATGTTCAAAACAAACAAAAAACCATATATGATATACAGCAACCACTGAATTACAGGCTCCTGACTTCGGACAAGCACTTAGCGGGCGCACATCTACCTCCTTACCCGAGACAGTGTTGTAACAGCAGAACATATAAAAACAAATCATAAAAATCGGTTGAAAGGCTTGATTCATCAGATCGACAACTTGTTATTCTCGGTACAACAATGGCGTGCAGGGCAGTAAGTAAGTAAGTAAGTAAGTAAGTACAACAATGTATTTATATTAAGAAGGGTCCTAATCGATGACAAAATCCTGATTCCCTCTAAAATGTATTCTACAGATTCGGTGATATAAGGATTTAAGATCTTCTAGCATGTCTTGTACCATAATACGTTTATGGCATTTTGAATGGATGAATTATAACTGGATGAACTATAGGAA